TCCTCGGATGCGACCTCGTAAGGCAGTAGCGCGGCGGCAGGCTTGCGCTTCGGCATGGCGAGCTCTCCTCGACGTGGATCTCAACGGGCGACTCGTACATGCTGCCGTCGGGGACGTACATGTACGGCTCGTTATCGGCATAGGCGTCGGGTGGAGTTGTGGCGCGCGAGGAGCGGGAGCGAATGCTGGCGCTGTCGACAGAGCGGGCGTACGAGGACATGCTGCCGGAGCTGCTCGAGGACCCGTAACTTGTGCTGTAGACCAGGGGCGGAGGTGTGATGGAGGCGACACCGTTGCTGTGTTGGCGCGAGTGGTAGTGCTCCTCGGACGAGTACTGGCGGGAGCGAGAGGTATCGCGGGAAGAAGGGGGCGAAGGGTAGGCGGCCTGGAGGTAGAGCTCGTCCTGCTGAGCGCGGCGGAGGCGACGCTGCTCCTCCTCGCGCTGCTTGCGGCGGACCATGCGAGCGGCGTGCTTGGCTTCGATCTGGTCACGAATGGGGGCCAGGAAGGGGTCGAACTCGCGGTACAGGTCCTCGGGCTCGATGCGCAGGTTCCAGTCGAGGAGAAGCAGGAGTTGCCTCTCCATGAGGTTGACCTCGGATCGGGAGAAGCCGAATGTCGAGTAGTCGGTATCGGCGTTGCTGTAGGCGGCCCAATGCTTGTTCTTGGGGGATGAGTCGTTGAGGTACTTGGCGGAGAGAATGAGCGAGGCGAGGAAGATGCGGTGGGTGGTGCATCGCAGGCCGCGGGCCATTGGCTGAAGCTTGGACTTGAGGCGGCCAAGGTAGACGAGGGTTGACATGAGTGTGGGAACCTGGACGTTGGAGGAGACAACGAGCTGGGTAATGAAGGCCTCTAGTGTGGGAAGATCGGCGTCTTCGGAGCGGACGCATCGCGGCTCTGTCCTGGAAGGCGTCGGGGGAAGCTGGTTGTTCTTCTGTGCCTCCGCAGCGCCGGGAGGCATGAGGTGCGAGTCGCATGCGATGACGTTGAAGGCAGCACCGGCCAGGTAGGCAATCATTTGCTTGGTGACTGGTTGATAGACGAAGTGGTCGAGGGCGGCGGCGTTGAGATCAGCCATGGTGAGCTGTTGTGTTGAGTCCATCGTGGGTGGTTGTGTGGATGGTGATGGTGGTGGTGGTGGTGGGAGAGGAGGAGGGGTGGAGGTTGTGGTGGTGGTGATGTTGAGGTCGTATAAGTAAGAAAGCTCTTCAATGAAGAAGATGCCTTGTGCCGAAGCGGTGGGGGCGTAGAGTTGGAGATTCCGTTGGAGGAAGTGACGGAATCAAAAAAAAGAGGCGACAAGGGAGAGGAAGGGAGCAGGCAACTGATATATCAGGGTGGTGGTCGCAAGGGCAAGTGACCAAGCCGGGAGGGGGGGTGTGCTTTCCAGGGGACTGACTTGTCAGGGATGCTGGGATCGACTTTCGTCAGTGGGTGATGCAGTCCACGAGGCTGAGCGGTGCGCCCCAGACTTGTCAGGGGATGAGCTAGCAAAAGACGCTAGGCAGGGGGTGCAGATGGACGCAGGGGAGGGGGGCTTGGGGGTTCAGTCCAAGTGGATACAGTGCCGGTGCCAAGAGAAGAGCCTGTTGGGGCTGGAATGCTGCCGATCGCAGAGGGGCGTGGTGCTGTGCGGGCTGGCCGACCGGGGTAAGACGAGTCCGTCGAGTCTGGGTCTCTTATACTACCACCAAGGCGGTCGCGTCAAGAGTCGAGACACGAGCAGACAAAGAGTCAAGGCAGCTGTCCGAAACTTTGGGCTTCAGCAAGCGGAGCGAGCAGAAGCAGAAAGGAGAAGCGAGCTGACGGAAAAGTGTGACGATGCGAATGACGATGCGACTGCGGGCAAAAGAGGCAGCGGGCAAAGCGTGCGGGTCGACCGAAAGACTGCGGCCGTGGCTGTACTGGGTTCTGGGAGAAACCGAGGATCCCGGTCCGGTACTTACGTACAGTACAAAGCAAGGTTGTGCTGATGGAAGAAGCAAGCTGGTACGAGGCCAACAATTGGTAGCTGAGAACGGGGCGTTTGCCTGGTTCAGGATAGACACTGGGAAGGAAGGAGAAAGCCCGGTTCGTTCGGACGGTGGTTTTTCGTCGTTTGCACGATGTGCGTAGATGGCGTTGCGAAACTCGGAGCGATGAGGCAAGCTGGCTGTTCAGTGACAAAGCCGGCAGTGAATTGACTGGTGGACTCGAGTAAGGACGGCAGGATCGCTGTGTCGGCGGGAGGCCAAACGAGTCAGGACTTGACTGGACGTCTTTGGCCGAAGCAGCGGCGATTTCCTTTTTTCTTAATTGAGGGGGATTTTGCGTTTGACGGCTTTGGTTACAGACAGCAGGAGCCGATGGTCCAGGCCGTTCAAGATACCGAGTGCGGTGCGGAGCGGTGCAGACGAAGCGGAGCAGGTGGTTGCGAGAATGCGCAATCAACCGAAAACGTGCGATCTGGTGACTGTGTGCAGGAAGCAACGGAGAGCTCTTGTTGAGGAATAGTGGATGGATTGAGAAAAAGGGATCCGCTCCTTTTTGATGCCTTTTTGTTTGTTGCCTTTTTTATTGATGGCCGGAGGCCGAAAGTTAGAAATTAGATTAGGCGGAAGGCTGGAGTATGTCGATGGCCGTCAAGGGACCAAGGTGGACTCGAATGGATTGAGGGCGGGGGTGGAGGGGTTGAAAAAATAAAAGAAGCCTGACGAGGCAGAGTTGCTGAGGCAGGCTGGGAGACTCAAGGCGGAATGAGGTGCGAGTGAGTGATCAACAACTTCCAATTCGCAACAGAAGCAGAAGAAGGCTGCGAGTTATATGGCTCCAAGTTGCAAGTGTCGACCTGGGATGTGAGGAAAGGGACCAGCCTGGTTTCCAATGCAGGTAAAATGAATTCCACACGAAGCGTCTGACGATGGCAGCTGGACAAGGGCGTTGTTGGGTGCTGATGGGCGACTTGTCCACTTTGGTTGCTACTGGTGGCTCCTGAATTGGTCTGTAACAGGTATGGAATGGGACGCTTGGGATCAATAGCAGGCTGAGCGACCGATGTCCAGCAACGGAGGGATGGATAAGTGGAAATGGCGAAAGCACACGAGAGATGACAGAGAGCTCAGTCGGCGGTGTGTGTGTGGTGCGGGTGCGGCCGCGCAAGTGTGATGCTTCGATAATGGCTCGCGGAATTCCAGTTGG